CTCAAATAGGTCATATTTTAAAACCAGGGAGTAAGTGGACAGAAGACCGATCCAGATGACCCTTGGCTGGCGATGACGATGACCGGCACGGCGTGGATAATGACGATCCCGCGGCCGACCCACATTGGGGGGAAGCAGCTTTTAGCCGCCCACGTGTTTCCGCCGAGAGAGAAGTATAGCGAATTTTTCAATGGAAAGGACAGATTAAAACATTTATTCGCTGCAGGTAAACGTTCTGACATGCCTTAACATCTCTCACTTTTCCCTCTCCAGCTTCAATTCTATTCCTGCTTCTACTATCTCTGTCCCTGTCTCATCTATCCATCTCCCCGTGAATGTGTCCCAAGATGTGAAAATACGGGCACCAGAAGCGCCCGCGAGCACACAGTCCCAAACCCGCCACATCTCCCCCTGTCCGCACGCAGAACCCCCTAGGCCTACAGCGTCCGAGCGGAAGCACGACGGCGGCCACAGCAAGAGTGCAGGCCCCCGCGACTAGGCCTATGCGGACGCAGGTTCCCTTTAAGCACGCCCCGACGGGAAATGGTGCGGTTTTCTGTAACGGAGGCTCTATATAGGTTATAGGTGACGCGATCGGCAACAAGCGAATGTAGGTGAGGATCTTCTGAACATCTGTCGTGCCACGGCGCAGCGCACGTGCTCCCGCGCCGCCGAAGGTCGCCTGGACACACTATCTGGGTCACAATTCGAATCCATCTACAATATACAATTTCAAAATGTGATGTCAAAACAATTTCTGATTTTAAAAATCGTAAGTCAACATAATATACGATTTTAAAAAAAATCTTCAGTAACAATATATATGCAATTTTTATCAATCTGAAATCATCTACAATATGTTTCTTTTTCACTAGACATTTACGATGTAAGATTTTCTAGAAATCCAAAGCCATCTATAATATACATATATACGATTTCACATCTAAGGAAATTAACTCCACAGTCTAAAGTCACCTACAACATACGTATTTTTATACGTATTCCAGACCCAAGAAATCAATGATACACACACAGATAACAAAAAAAAGACATCCCTCCCAAAACAAACCTTGATAGGCCTATATAAACAAACAAACACATCATAAACGTAAAACAACCATTAGCTTTACAGACGCCGTCTTGTCCCGTCGACGTCCTCACGCCAACAGCCTCCTCAAGAAAAGCAAAGCAAAGAAACAAGAAGCACAAGAAGAAAAACGAAGTCGCGACTCAAAGTGCTTGACGCGGAAGGCGGGAGGAAATGGAAACGGCCGCTGGACGGAGTGCATTCTCGGCCTCGTGGTCATTTGTTATTTGTTATTTTCCGCCTCTGTGGGTGTTCTTGCTGTTCTTTACTATCTTTTAAATCATTTTATCATTTTATCCTTTTGGTGTATTTGTTTATTTAATGTATTTCCACTTATTATATACATATATATATATACATATATATATATATACATATATATATATATATATATATATATATATATATATATATATATATATATATATATATATATATATTTTATGTGGAGGAAGAGGATACTTTCTCTGCCATCCTTTTCCGACTTTTGGCGCTAATGTTTTTCTTTTATTATCTCTCTGCCTCCTCCTCTCCCTCTAGGCTGCATCTTGAGTGACATTTTACTTTTGTAACGATATTTTTACTTTATTATCATCAACCTTACAATTATCCACCTGCCTTGCGCCTTGTCCTCGCCTAACAAAAATTTAGCTTCCTACAAACTCTCTCTTTCCGTCATTAAAAATAAACACACACATCTTTAATTTAGAAGCACAGACAAACAAGATTCACACACACACACACACACACACACACACACACACACACACACACACACACACACACACACACACACACACACACACACACACACACAATACCCCATCACACCCAAAACAACGGACAAGCACATAGAGACACACACGCACGAGACCTCAATCCCGCGGAAGCATTTCCCCTGAAGCTCGCCACAAGCAAGCAACCTTGACAATCGCGGCTGGAATCCCTACAAAGGTGGCGCTGGCATTGGCCGTAGGGGGGGGGGGTGCTCCTCTTCCGTGCACGTGAGTGGGTGAGTCAGGCTATAAGGGAGTGAGAGGGTGTTGGAGTTAACGAGTGAATGAGTGAGTGAATGAGTGAGTGAATGGTTGATTGACTGATTGAGTGAGTGTGTGAGCAAGCGGGTGAGTGAGTCAGCGAGTGAGCGAGCAAGTGCGAGAATGGACGAATGGGTGTTTGAGAGAATGAGTGAGCGAATGGGTGATTAATTGGACGAATGTGAACGAATGCGTGTGTGAGTGAATGAATGAGTAAGTGTGTGAGTGAATGAATGAGTAAGTGTGTGAGTGAATGAATGAGTAAGTGTGTGAGTGAATGAATGAGTAAGTGTGTGAGTGAATGAATGAGTAAGTGTGTGAGTGAATGAATGAGTAAGTGTGTGAGTGAATGAATGAGTAAGTGTGTGAGCAAATG